CCGTCGTTAAGCGTCTGCTTTCGGCTCAGGTCATGATCCCAGGGTCCTGGGATCGAGCCCCGCATTGGGCTCCCATGCTCAGCGGGAAGCCTGCTTCTCCCCCTCCCACTCCCCCTGCTTGTGTTCCCTCTCTCGCTGTCTCTGTCTGTCTCTCTCTCTGTCAAATAAATAAATAAAATCTTAAAAAAAAAAAAGGATATTCACATTGTTGTGCAACAGATTTCTAAAACTGTTTATTTTGCAAAACTGAAACTCTGTACCCATTAGACTCTAATTTTATCACACCCTCACTTCCAACCCTTGGGTAACAACCTTTTTACTCTTTTTCTGTGATTTTGACTACTATAAATACTTCATGAGTGGAATCATACAGTGTTTGTCTTTTGTGATTGGCTTATTTTACTTAGCATAATGTTCTCAAGGTTCATCCTTAATGTGGCTTGTGATCGGATTTCCTTATTTTTAAAGGCTGCACAGTATTCCATTCCAGTGTTCCATGTATATACCACATTTCCTTTATTCTTCTGTCAATGAACTTTCAGCTTGCTTCTGCCAGTTGGTTATTGTGAATAATGCTGTAAATCTGTCTTTGAGATCCTACTTTGAATTCTTTTGGATATATACTCAGAACTGGGGTTGCCGTATCATAGGTTAATTCTATTTTTAATTTTTTTAAAGATTTATTTATTCATTAGAGAGAGAGAGAGAGAGCGAGCATGTGTGCAAGCAGGGGGAGGGGCAGAGGGAGAAGGAGAGGAAGAGGGGAAGCAGACTCCCCGCTGAGCGCGGAGCCTCACATGGGGCTTGACCTCACCACCCTGAAATCGTGACCTAAGCTGAATCCAAGTGTCAGACACTTAACCAACTGAGCCACCCAGACACCCCTGTAAGTTAGATTTTCATAATTTTGTTTTCCAGTTTGGTCATTGTTAGGATATGAAATGCAGCTGATCTTCACATGCTCATATTCTGAAATTTTGCTAAAATCGTTTATTAGAGTTTTTTTTTTTTTTTTTTTTAAGAATCTTTAAGATTTTCTACCTAAAAGATCATGTTATCTGCAAACAGATAATTTTACTTCTTCCTTTCCAGTTTGGAGATCATTTGTTTCTTTTTTCCTATCCTTTTGCCCTGACTAGTACTTAAGTACCATGTTGAATAGAAGTAGCAAGAGTAGATATTCTTGGGGTGCCTGTCTGGCACAGTTGGTGGAGCGTATGACTCTTGATCTCGGGGTTGTGAGTTAGAGCCCCACACTGGGTGTAGAGATTACTTAAAAATAAAATCTTTTTTTAAAAAAAAGAGGAGGCATCCTTACTTTCTTAATCTTAGAGGAAAAACTTTCCATCTTTCACTATTGAGTTTGATGCTAGCTGTGAGCCTTTCACATGTGGCTTTTATTATGTTGGGGTAGTTTTCTTCTATTACCAGTTTGTTGAGCGTTTCTGTCATGAAAAGGTGTTGGGTTTTGACAGATGCTTTTTCTGCACCGATTGAGATGATCATGTGGTTTCTGTCCCTCGTTCTGTTAATATGGTATATTACATTGATTTTCATTTGTTGAACCATTCTTGCATTCCAGGAATAAATCCACCTTGGTCAATGTGTAGAATTCTTTTAATGTGTTAAGTTTGGTTTTTAATATTTTGTTGAGGATTTTTGCTCAGTATTCATCAGGTATATTGATCTGTAGTTTTCTCATTACTCACCTAGACAGTATCCTAATTATATTTTTTAGGTGTGGATTTAAAAAGTACTTCCTATCAAACTACATTATAAATTCCCCTTTAAAAAATATAGTGTTTACAGTGACCTGGTTTGACTCTGGGGAACAAATGTAATTACAAGTGTTTTTTTTTCTCGGACTTTGAAATATAACTGAAAAGAGCAAAATAAAAAAGAACTGAAGTCAAAGTTAGTTACTGTCTTTGTGTGGTGTTTATGGATTGCGGTAAAGTATACATATAATGTTTAACAGTTTAAGCATTTTAAAGTATAGGAAAGTGGCATTAAGTGCATTCACATTGTTGTGCAAACATGTATATCCTTTGTATTAGTCTGCTAGGGCTGCAATAACAAAATATCACCGATTTGGTGGCTTGAGCAACAGAAATTTATTTTCTCACAGTTCTGGAGTCTAGAAGTCCAAGATTAGGGTGTTAGGTTTATTTGAGGCTTCCTTCCTCAAGGTGGCTGTTTTCTTTCTGTGTCCTCATGTGGCATTTCCTCTGTGCATGCATCCCTGGTGTCTTTTTCTTCTTATTAGGATGCCAGTCGTATTGGATTAGGGCCCCATCCTTATGTCCTTATTTAATCTCAGTTAACCTTTTTGAGGGCACTTTCTCCAGATGCAGTCACATTGGGAACTAGGGTTTCAACATATGAAGAATCTGTTCATAGCACCTTTTATGTAGTGCTTCTGGCTTCCTAGAGAACCTGCCATCATCAGTATATTCATTTTTTATTGTTGTTCTAACAAATTATCACAAACTAGGTGGTTCTAAATAACAAACTTATGTTTGACAATTGTGAAAGCCAGAAGTCTGAAATCAGGATCACTGGACAGAAATCAAGGTGTCAGCAGGGTTATTCTCTCCAGAAATTCTAGGGGAGGATCCATCCCTTGCCTCTCTCAGTTCTGGTGGCTACAGACATTCCTGACTATGGCTGCAATCTTCAAGGCCAGTGTTTTCAAATCTCTCTCTCTTCTGTCTCACGTTCTCTGTGTATAGTCAAATTTCCCCATCTCCCTCTTTATAAGAATACTTAGGGCCCACCCAGATAATCCAGGATAATCTCTCCATCTCAAAATTTTTTAACTTAATCACATCTGTAAAGACTTTTCTTTTGGGGGGAGGGGTTATAGAAGGTAATATTCGCAGGTTCTGGGGATTAGGATGTGGATTCTCTTGCAGGGCCATTTTTTTTTCATCCCATCACACTCAGCAATTCATAGTAGACTTTTAGTGTTCTCACTTTGATTTTTAGTTTAGCTTGTAATAGGTCACAGTATCCAGTCCTGGGTAGGTAAAGATTGGTGGCATTGGGTGGCTGAGAGAATATTCTCATCTCTTCTAGACATTATGCAGAAAACTCCAGGTCTGCAGTTCCTAGTGTGTGGTCCTGGAACTAGCATCACCTTAGGAACTTACTAGAAATGCAAATCATTGGGCTCCAACTTAGAATTACTGAATCAGGAACTCTGAGGGTGGGGGCTAGCAGTCTGTATAACAAGCCCTCTGGGTGATGCTGATGTGTGCTAAAGTTTGAGAAACACTTGGCTAGGTTGTTGACATTAGTATTAAGACCATATTCACCTTCTTCTCTAGCTCTTTTTTGCTTAAGTCTAATACTTCAATGAGTCTAGGATTTATAGTCCACAAACTTTGTTTTCAGTAGGGATGCAAACATTTAGTACCAAAATCTTGGTATTGATGATCAGTGAAATTGATTAATTTACTCAATAAAAGTTTGCACCGGGCTGATTTTTATCGTTGTCTTTTTTTACTTAGATGTAGTTATTTCATAAAGTAATGTTACCAGATTCAGAAGGGATATGGATTTTTTTTCTCGAGTCCTGGAAATGTGAATTAAACTCATTAGCCTGAATTTTACTTCTTTATCTTTTATATCCCTGTGTACATTTTGGGATACAACACAAAACTTCTAATCTTTGATTCAGCCTGCACTGTTGTACTTTTACTATGTGCCTGCCACCCAGTGAAAATGCTGAAATGAGATGAATGAATTCTTGTCCTTCGTGTCCATACTGTAGTTCAGGAGACACATAAGTAAACAGTTGATAATAGAGCTATCAAACAGTTATGCAATTGAGAAACACCATAGTGGAAGAAATTGAAGAAGGATCTTTCAGGGTGACTAAGCTAAATATTACAAAACTAGTAAGAAAGGTGTTAGCAAAGTTAAAGAGAGAAAAGGTAGGTATAGTTCACCATGTGAAGCGCGTGAAAGCTGAGAGGGCATGGGGGCTGTTCTGGGAGTTGAAGGGGTTTAGTATTAGAAACCTGGAGTGAATGTGAGAGTAAAGATTGGGGATAATCGATAAGGATGAGATCATTGATGAGTAAGTACTGTTGAAGGACTTGAAGCGTAGACGTGACATCCTCACAATAGCCATTGCAAAATGATAACTTACATGATTCTGGGAAGAAGAAATTTGAGACGATAGTCTGGAAATAGAATAGTTACAGGAATCTAGGTGAGAATGGCAGTAGGTATGGTGGTGCCATTTTTTGTGAATAAGAATTCAAAAGAATAACAAGCTAGTTTCAGGCTGGGGAAGGAGATTTGTAGAATACAGGATAAGACATACTGAGTTTTTAGAATTTGTGGAATGTGATAAAATTAGGGGTAGGTAATTTTTCAAGTCAATTTTCAGTGGAATGTTGGGGTAGCTGTTACATTATACTAGATTGTGAATTAAATTGAGGAAGCAGGAAAGTATCAGTGTGTACTATCCTCTAGAATAATGGTCCCTGGCATTTACTAAGTACTTAATCATTGTTAGCCATTTTTATATTTACTGTTAGTATATACTTTCATGCCATCTCATACTGTATTTTTTTTCTTCAGCTTTTTGGTGTACTTTTTGGTATATATATATATATATGTATATATATTTAATAGTATTAGATAAACATCTAGATAGAAGTATGTGTTTTATTAACAAATACTGATTTTAATTGCTATACTATTAAAATTAATGAAAAGTTACTGTAAATTTTTTGAAAGAGAACTAGAAAGTTTAAGTTTCTCATTTGAATAGATTATTGTTCATAAAAAAATGGTACTTAGCAAGTTTCCTAAAAGTTTAAAATGGTCATGTTTTAGTTGAACCACTTTTGGATACAGGTTATGTCAAAATAATTTGATTTGCAGTTTTTAATTTCAAAGAATAAGTGTATCATAGATGTACTTATTCATACTTGACACAAAAACTAAATGATGGTCTTTACATGTATTCTTTCAGGTTTGAGTTAATTTCGAATGAGATTGTTTTTGCAACGAGATGTTAATAAGACAAAATCTAGGTAAGTAGAAGACTACTTTGTTAAATGTTACATATCAAAGTAGGAATAACACAAAAAACTTGTGTTTTAAAAATGTGCCTTCAAGTTCAGAATTAATGAGTTTTTCAATAAAACTTCAAAATATGAAGAATTGGTTTTGATGTACTTGCTCCAGTTGATTTGGTGGGAGTAACAATAGAGTCATCAAACTGTGGAACTAAATTCTTAGTTTTCCTTCTTTTATGTTGAGTTTAACTTAAGTATGTAGTTTCCCGTGACTATTCAACATGTTAGAAAATTGAGTTGGTGGTTGGTTTAGCTATTCAGAAACCAGTTCAGTAAGAGATTTGCTGGATGCTTCAGTGTTCTCTTAGTTGATTATAGTGCTTGAGTAGTTTTTGCCTTTGCGAATTTTACTTTCTTATTTCTGTTAATGAAGCACTTCTATAAATTGATTAAATTTGCCAAATTATGACTTCTTTATGTTAATATAATGTTTGGAATTATAAATGATTGTTTCACTTTTTTTCTTATGAGTATCTCTACTGAATGACTTTTCTAATTTAGCATTCTGATTTGCTTTAATATTTTAAAGACTGTTGACTTTCAGGAAATTGAATTGTGATCATGTACTTTTTTGGTCTGATATGTGAAAGAGGGTTTTTTAATAATATTAACTGTTGAGATGTTAAAAAGATAGACTTACTATCTTTTGGCAAGTGAACATGGTTTCAGGATATAAACAGATTAAAAAGAATACTTAAATTGTAGTTAACTTGGTCTTTCTCTAATCTAACCAGATGTTTCAACTGTCAGAAACTTGCTGATCTCAAAGTTAAAAAAAGAAAATAAAAAACCTAGAATGAGAAGTGCTGTAGTTGAATAATATGTAGTTAAACAGTGTATTCTCAGTAAGTGGTTTAGGCATAATTTGAAGGAAAGTTTCCCTTTTATTGCTATTATATAATAATAATTGTAGTGGTAGTGTGAAGAGTACTTACTGTGCTCTGTATTGTGTTAACTGCTTCTCATGCCTTGTTAATCTTTATAGTACTTTCTGTAAGGTAGGTACTGCTGTGTAGAAAATTTTTTTTTTTTTTTTTTTTTTGGTTTATAGTGAGCTATTTCTTTTCTTTAGGACGAGTACATTATCTTCACAGCATTTATAAGGAACACTTGTCTATATATCTTCTTGTAGGGAAGAAGAAGCTAGACTTTTGTACTTAAGGTCTTACAGGGATTTTGTTTCCTAATTGAATATATAGTGTGTTAGAACCTTTATTCTGATTTCTTATAAGTCAGATATTGCTTAAGGGATGACACTGGTTTAACTTATTCTGACCCTGTTCTATCACAATTATGCATTTTTTTCTTTTTTTTAATAAGATATAACTTACATTTTTATATAAATTAAGTTGTAACTTATGTATGGTAAAATTTAAAGTATAGAGGTGAATGAGGCTTTTACATACATGTTCACGCATGTAACTACCATACAGATCAAGATGTAGAACATTTTCATTGCCCAGAAAGTTCCTCAAACTCTTCCCTTTCCAGTCCAATAGCCTTTTCCCCCTGAGGTAAGCATCTTTCTGAATTTTATCAGCATAGCTTAGTTTTGCCTGTTCTTGAGTTTTATATATATAGAATTATATAATATGCACTCGTTTATATGTCGCTTTTTTCAGCCAACATACATCTTATTGTGTGAGTATCAGTAGTTCATTATTTTTTACTGCTGAGTACCGTTCCAGTGTATGAACATGCTACAGTTTTTTTATGTATTCTCTCTGTAATTTTATTGGATTCTCCAAGTCTCTGACCTCACTTTGCAGCATTCTACACTGCTTTCCTTCCTCTAGTTGTCCCCTTTACTGTTCCCTAGCACCTGCACAATAAAATGTAAACTCCGTAACATAGCATATAACAGTTTCACTGCAACTATTCCAGAATGTCTAGAATTACCTTAATAAATGAAGTCTGATGTTTCATATATTTAGTTTTAGTCCTAATTATATGTTGTCACTCTTCCCCAGCCTCTCACCTTGTCCTTCCTCTTGCTCATCAGCTTATCTCCTGAAATAGTCCATCTCAAGCATTATCTTATCCTTTGAGCCAGACCTAGTCATACTGTAGTAGAGTGTTTTCTTTAGTGGACTGTGAGCTCTTTGAGGGTAGACACCATCAGTGTCTTACTTATCTTAGTAGCACAGTGCCAGAGTACTGTGTGTACTTAGTGAATGTTTGTAAAATACGGAAAAATGAGGGACGCCTGGGTGGCTCAGTCGTTAAGCGTCTGCCTTTGGCTCAGGTCATGATCCCAGGGTCCTGGGATCGAGCCCCGCATCGGGCTCCTTGCTCTGCGGGAGGCCTGCTTCTCCCTCTCCCACTCCCCCTGCTTGTGTTCCCTCTCTCGCTGTGTGTCTCTCTGTCAAATAAATAAAATAAAATCTTTAAAAAAAAAAAAATGGAACAATGAACAGAATTCTCTCTCAGTCAGCTAGGGATTCAGAATATTGGCTGGAATGGGATGAGGACATGGGTACTTCAGTTGCTATTGGGCTGTAGGAAGGAGCCAACGAGGACAATACAGCATTATAGATATTTTGGAAGGCAATAAAATATTACCCAAGTCTTCTTTGAATCCAGTTTTTAAAAAATGGCTAATAATGTTCTTAGTTGAGACCTTAAGGAAAACTGTTGATTTTGATTACTCTTTTCGAATGAAGGCATTAATCCATGTTATGGAAATTGGAGTGTTTGCTACTAATGGTATTCTTTTTGTGAGTTTGTAATAGTTATTTCTTTAAAAATTTTAAAGGATGTATTAGATTAATACAAGTAGAAAATTAGGAAGACTGGTTACATCTATAAAGAAAACTTTTTCTCATTTTCCTGAGGGTAAAAAAATAGTGGAGTAGAGAAGGAAATTGAATCATAGTCTGGAAGTGTGATAATATTTTTGATTTTTATAGCTTAGGAAGCTTGCTGTTTGATGAAAAGTATTTTTAAAAATTTTGTTTTTATCATTGTAGGCCTGTAATATATAAATAATATGCTTAAGGAACTTAAAATATTGTGAAGTATTTTATACTAGTTTTTTTTTTCCATATTTGAAATTAGGCTGGTTGGGTTGGCCATTGTAGTCACCTGGGGGATTTTTATGCCTTCTAGCAAGTCCAAAGCAAGGAGAGGTTCTTCCCCACTGGGATCAATTTGTTGCTTTTCCTCTTTGCAGCTTCTGCCATAAAGGTTGATTACAGAGTTGGACATTGACCCCATCTCATGCTGTTTCTTCTGATCCCTACAAGGATTTTCTTAGACATAGATTCTTATCAAATGTCAGAACGTCAGTTATTTGTTTTATTTCATCATGGATGTGAAGTATGTTTAGTTTTCTTGTTGATAAATTTGAGTATTCAGAGAAATATAACCTTGAGGTTGTTTGACTTACATGTATTTGAAAGATTTTAGGTTAGTTTCTCTTCTCAGAGGCTGATAGGTATACCTTAGTTTCAGACTCGTCTTCATTCTGTGCTTCAGTATTTTATATGGTCAGCCACTGCTTTTTTCATTTTGCAGAGTTCCCGAATCCAAGGATTTGAAGTTCTTTATGAATACTTACCTTGTATTAGCTAATTTCCTTAATTTTCAAATTAAGTTCTCTGTACTTCACTCTTTAGTAGCAATGTAGATGTGTGCTGCCCTTTGTTGTAATGCAAAAAAGAAAAGACTTTTAAATTAATAAAAATATTTGTTCTTCATTATAGATGAGATTGCACAATGTACATTTGACCTTTTTCAGATATATTGCCAAGTAACATTTAGTATTTTTGAAATTTTATTTTTTTATGGGAGTCACATATACTTATTTACTAAGTATGAGCAAATAGTATGGAGATGTTTAGAGTAAGTAAAACTGTCCTCCTCTCTCACCCAGCACTGTACTCCCCATAAATTATCAGAAATAGCTGATATGTATTCTACATCTTTCGCTTTCCATTTGCCAGTATATCTTGGACATTTTTCCATATATGGATTACATTTAATATAATTGTTTCCTTGTTGATAGAGATACTTTGGTAAATCTCAGGGTTTTTTGCTTCTATATGCAGTGCTGCAATAAATATTCTTCACTACATTATTGGAATTGTGTGAGAGTGTAGGATAATTTGTAGCAACGGATTGCTGGGTCAGTGTATATGTGCAGTTTAATTTCTGATATTGCAAAATTGCAGTGAGATTATATCACTTAATGTTTTTGTTAGCAGTGTTTGAGAATATCTCTTTCCCCACACCTGCTAAATATTAATTCCTGTCTTAATCCATGCCAATGTGATCGGTGAAAAGTGGTATTTATTGGTGCATTTTTTTTAATTAGAAGGATTTTAAATTTCCAAGTCTTTTGAGAAAGTAAAATTAATGCAATGCAAATCAGAACATCCAATTAATAAATTTAACAAGCCAAAGTAATTTTGTTAACAGAATTAACCCATTTATTATGGGCTAGCAATGTCTGATGGCAGACTTCACTGTGACGACAGGAGTGGTGTTGTAGTTGTAGGTCCAGGCACCACTGGCTACCGTTTTCATGTAGGAACCACAATGCCAGGTCCTCACAGCTTGTCTTTTCCTCTTGGTTTTGCCACAGAAGGAGAAAGTGTATTTGGCGCGCTGACTTGTTTCACTCTTCTTCACCATTTTCCTGAGGGAGGGATCATATGGGTTCTGTGTTTACCGATGATTCCGACCTTCTTGGTGCGTTTAACTATACTGTCGCAAACTTGGTCTGAGCCCAGAGAGCTCTCATTGTGTTTTAAATTTACATTTCCCTAATGACTAATAATGCTCAACATCTTTTCAAGTGATTATGTGCATTTTTACCTTCTTTTAGGTGAAACGTCTTTTCATGTCTTTTGCTCATTGTCTAGTTGGATTGTTTATTTTTTTACCGTTGTCTTGAGAGTTATGTATTGTAGCTACTGGTCCTTCGTTAGATAGGGTTTTTCTAAGTACTTTCT